TCATGTCATACATCATGCTAGCAGCGCTCCCTGCCCTGACGGAGATAAACTGATCAACCACAACGGTCTGGAATGAATTTATGACAACACAAAATTGAGGAAAACAAATGGGAGGTGACCCAGTGGGCCGCTCACCCAGACTCTCCGCTTGGCCTGCAATCTCGTTTGGTGGCAGAAAGCAAAATTGAACATTGGCACTCTGAATTAAGATGCTGGCTTTTAACCCCGGGGAACCTGGATTCCAAAATGGCGCCGGGTTACTTGGGAAGGAAGGGGGGAGGGAGAAAAGGGGTCACAGCTTCTGCGGCTCAAGGCGAGGCCTGACACACGCAAGTCCAGCACGAGTGGAAGAAACTGGGCACGCGTACAAACAGTCAGAGGAGTCGATTCATCTCTCCACGCCCGCTGCAGAGCTGTGTCTCCAGCCCAACCAGGCGCGTGCTTCACCTCCCGAGATCTGCCCATTTGCTGAGGGCTTACATTAGCCTCCCCCCTCCCTAACCCCCATTTCCTTCAGAACTAAACCGCGCGGCTTCAGAAATGTGATGGAGTCAAGCCTAGAGAGTCCCGCTAAATCTCAGAGTTCAGAGTAGGGATGTTAGCGGCTACCGCTAACTTCCCTACTCTGAACTCTGAGATTTAGCGGGATCCTCCCCCTCCCCTGCGTGCTCCGCATTTCAAACTCAGACTGGCAGGCTGGCTCCCCAGGAGTGCACTGGCTGCCGGCCCCGCCCCCGGGGGTCATCAAATAGTCGTGTAACTGCTAAGAATGGTTGTGGTTACACGATTACGAAATGAAACGATTTCTAACAACCCCAGTTCTGAGCATAAGGGGATTTGCCCCCAGACCAATCCCCGGGCCGTCTTGGCAGCCAGAGGCTACTAGGGATGTTAAAATGCAGTTAACTAGGGAAACGTGTAACCGCAAGGGAACAAAACCCATCAGTTACACACGGAGGGACAATGGGGGGGGAGGAGTGTAACCGTGAAGGTTGACCCACGAGCCCAGGCTTATCGGTGAACCGTGTACACGGTTTCACGTTCCTGTCCCTAGTGGCTGCCATCTGACATGCAAAACAGGCGACGCAAGGCGGCAGGTCACTGGTGTGGGAAACCGGCTGGAGACAACAGAGACCCGTCAGGCTACATGGAGGTGGGACTTTCCTGGCATCACTCGGCTCGTCAATTTGCTTGCAAGAGAGTCTTCTAAGGAAGCCTGAAGTGCAGATTCCATTAACTTTCAACCAAAGTACATTAGCGGCCTGCCGAAACAAGGACAGCTCACTGTATCGTATTAGCTAATTAAAAACAGTCTCTTCAAGCCCAGACTTATTTTTGGAGAGGGGGGGAAGGAATGTCATTCTTATAACCGTAGGATCAATAAGTGGAATCGCTACTAACTCTATTACCCATTGTTCCAAATGGAGAGCCCCACTGACACAGGTGATAAACCATGTGCTTCTAAACTTTTTAAAATGCTAATCCGATGCTACGCGGAGCTGAACACCCCAATCAATAACAGCCAGATCTAAAAGCAAAAATTAAAGTTATGAACAACGGAGCAAAGTGCTTCGGCCTAAAACTTGCTGCAAGCGCCATCCGAAACAAGAAAAATGAAACCAATTTAGCTCCAGATTAAGAAACAGGAACTGGAGATGAATCAATTTAGCCTGTTGGGCTGGGTCACCATATATCACAGCTCCTCAGCGGAGTGGGAAGCAGCCAGACAGCATGAACCCCCCCCCCCCCCGCCTTGCGTTCTGCAGGATTCTAGGTCTGATTGCTGTTATCAATTAACGTAACACAACCCCCTACGCAGACAAACATGCAGAGCGTCCAGGCTCCTTAACCCGCAGGACAGGAACGATTTATCACGCACACATCTGAGGGGAGAATCCATCTCCGACGCCATCTTACTTTCTGATCCCGACGGAAAGAAAAGCCTTTAAATAAAAGCGACGCAGCTCTTCTCAGCTCTTTAAATGAGCAATTTCCTGGGAAGAGTCAATAAGCCAGTTGGGGCTTACCTGTAATTTCTAATGAGCTTGGCCGGCCTTCCAGCAGCTCCAGAAGGACTGGGAGTCACAGGGTTATGATGGGATAGGACGGACACACACACTTCACAATGTCGTTATTCTACGCCTTGTCCGGAAACGCTTGGGGGCCCTTCAAAAGACTCTAGACCCCTGGTGTCCAACACGCTAGCCCCATGTGGCTTTTTGGCTGGTTGAGTGTGGCTAGTAGGCTCACAAAAATATTTACGTTTTCCGAATAACGTGGCTAGTTCACTTCAGCACTGGTTGGACACCACGGCCCTAGACCATGCTTTAGCTACCCCATGACGGAGGTAGTGTCAATTTCTCTCTTGGGCTCAAGTGTTTTGGAAACGGCCAAATCCGTTCAGCCCTTCCACAAGAGGGGATTAGGGAGGGCAGACCTGTTGGCTCTCAGGAGAGGTTAGGAGGCCCTGTGGAAGGCTGAGCAACACCCCAAAGGAGGCGTGAGACAGAGGCCAATGGATAATTGCGAAGGGATTCTCCACACACAGGGCTAGCTAGTTGGAAAGATAAGTCTCCCTTGAGGTGTTCTAGAACCCCCCAAAATCCTCTGGCTTTCACTCCTACCTACTGACTGGTACGCATGGAAACATCAGACGCAAACAGAGTCTGAGCAGTGTAAATAACTCACGTTTGGGACCCACGGGGAGAGGGGCTTTAGAACAGAAAAACCAGTCCCAAGACCAAGGGCAGCAGGGAATGACCTTTGCTAACACCTAACCATGCACCTTAAAGCTGCTTTCGCTGTCAGAAGACTCCCATTTACAGGGGACACCGAGGCCCGAAGTCGGGCCAGGGCAGGAAGCTGAGGAGAAGGAACTGGATTTCAGACTGGTCTGAGATACAGTTATTTAGAATCTTCAAGCACAGTCAACCTGTGGAACTCCTCGCCAGAGGATGCTGTGAAGACCAGGACTTGAACAGGGTTCCAAAAAGAGCTAGAGAAGTTAATGGAGGTTGGGTCCATCAATGGCTATTAGCCAGGATGGGTAGGAACGGTGTCCCCAGCCTCTGTCTGGAAATGGGTGACAGGGGAGGGATCGCGGGAGGATTCCCTGTTGTGTTCCCTCCCTCTGGGGCCCCTGGCATTGGCCACTGTGGGCAGACAGGACACTGGGCTGGATGGACCGTTGGTCTGACGCAGTGTGGCCGTTCTGATGTTTTTAAGTGCAGAGATTTTCCCCATCCCAAATCACCAGCACGTGGGTTTGAGATCACAGCGCCTGTCTCTTCAGAGACGTTTTATTCCTTGCCCGATCGGTGTGCGACCTTTTGATCTTAGGCGATTAGCAGCCCTCTCTTCAAAAGGGGAATTCAAACGAGCCACAGCAGCAATGGAGGGATCCAGAGAGCCCGAGGGGCCCAAGCAGCTCGCGTTTCCTCACAAGGCTGTAGGAGGAGGGTGGGGAAGGACAAGCCACCCTGAGGCAGGAAGGGGGCATCCCCAAAGGAGAGAACTCTGACCCAGTGTAGCCAGACACAAAACCCCATCTTGTTTTTCCACGAACCCCATCTTGGTTCCCCCCCCCCCAGAGAGCAAGAGAAAGGCAGTCAGCCTTTGATGCCCTGGGAACACAGGTTTGCTGCCTGTCCC